AAAAAAAATCTGTCAAAAGACTAACAGCCTTTGAATTTTCACACTAGTGTATATAAAACAAATCTAAAATCCAAAAAAAAAAAAAAAATAAAATTATCACATGTACAACAGTTGAGAATGGGGACAAACACCCCCGACCTGAACGCAGGCAATAAAATATGACAGTTAAATTAATACCAAAAAAAAAAAAAAAGGGAATTAAGAACATCTACAAAAACACTGAAAAAAAGTTAGTACTAGCATTGGTCATTGTTTTCAAACATAACATTTCCATAAATGTTTCTGAAAGATTCAGATGCAAAACATCTGCATTTCACAAACAGGTTTTACGCCAAAAGCGAATACCGGGATGAGATATAAGAACAATAAAAAAAAAATTATTTTGGCATTTAAATATTTGGTAAATAAAAGGCTGTCAAGAAATGGCTAAGTACCAAAGTTTTACATTTTATTCAAATGGCTATATACAGATCCCTGGATGTACAAAGTCTGTTTGCAGTGAACTGATTCTCAATCAACAACATCTGTACCTGTTAAAGTAGCTTAGCTGACGGTCAAGCAGCACTGTAGTGGATCGAGTCTCTCGTCACACAAAACCACCACAACAATGACATACAGATATAAGGAATGTACCATAACACCATGGTTGAAATGAGTATACATTAGTATAGCACACTTATTTTCAGGTTTTGCTCTCACAGAATTTAGTTTCGAACGTATACTGCATGCCCTCAATTTGGTTCCACCTCGAATGTTTTACTAAGGAAATAAAACGTTTTACAGCACACAGATTTAAAAACAAAAGACATCTGATAACGTAAAAGGCTACAGTAACCATCCCTTCTGTAGCACCGATTGTGACATTGACTCTTTTTCTTTACGGCTGGTTCAATGGTCAATCCAAAGCCTTTAACCTGTGAATGGCTCCACTGTACCCTGTAGTGTTTTATTTAGAAAAAAAATTATGGACACAATGGGCCACAAGGTGAAAAGGCAGTAAGTGTGAGAGAACAAAAAGACATCTTTTGACGCTATCCCCTCCGAGTCACTTTAAGATTTCAATGCAAATGTCCAGTCAGAGTGAATTATTCGTGTGAGGTCCTTCTGTGGTTTTTGTGGTACGTGAGAGGTTGGCGGCGGCCCATCGGGCCGAGGCACTGTGTGAGCTTATAGTTCAAAAGAGAGAGAGAGAGAGAAGGTATGTGAGGGTGGGGACGCTCATGCGTAGATTTCTGTGGTAGGAGCTTTCTTGTAGATGGGCGTCTTGCCCAGGTCGTAACTTCCTTCGTCTTTCTTCTTGAAGCGGAGAACGAAGTGAACCAGCAGGACGATGAGGAGGATGGCGAAGACCAGACCAACTGCTCCGCCCGCAATAACAGCTAGAAAACAGAAATAGAAAATGTGAGGGAGGCATAACCTTCAGACACGGCCTTAATGGACACCAGCAGCCTGCGTGGATTTTCAAAATTTACTTATTGTATTTTCAGTAATTGAAATAAATGATAAATAATTGGTGATAAAATTGAAAATTAGAAATGCTGCCTTGGCAGCTAACTGAAATTAAAGTACTAAAAAAAATTAAAATAAATGAAAGCCATGTAGAAATATAAAATAAAAAACTAATAAAAATGACATGCACTTAACTATGAAAAGCCGTTTTCACCATGGGGTAATAAAAAAAAAAATTCTCTCTCACAATTCAGACTTTTTTCCCCACACAATTCTGAGTTTACATCTCGCAATTCTGAAAAACTGTGAATCTAAAATACATTTTTTAGAGCTGTGTGACAATTAGAATTGTGAGAAATAAAGTCAGAATCATGAGTTACATAGTCAGAATTGTGAGATATAAACTCGCAATTCTGAGAAGAAAATAGATTGAAGGGTCACTATTACCTTTTTTTTTTTTATTCTGTGGTGGAAAGTCAGAATTGTGAAAAGAAAAAAAAAAGTCTAAAAATACTAAAATAACACTGGAAAATACTGCATTAGATGATAAAACATCAAACCAGTGGACTTTATTTTAGAGCAAAACCGTAAACACTGATGTACTAAAAGTTTTACTATATTTAAATATTCAAATTTTGCCGACAATATTTATTAATTGTATTTAATTTGCTTATTAAAACTATCACTATTGCAAACAAATCAAACAGTCTCCTCACCTGCAAGCACCTCTGTATTGTTGAAAAAGTTGTCTTCTCCAGCATGCGTCATGAGCACATTGCTGGGCTGGTCATCGTCTTGCTTTGGTTCTCCATGCCGGCCGACCTCATTTTGTTTAACCAGAATATCGTTATTGACAGTTGGCTTCGGTGCAAATGGACCCTCATCAGGGATCCGGTTATTATTGAAGATACCAGTCTGAGAAAGGAAAAAATGGTCACACGAAAGTCAATACAGAAGTTAAATCGGTTGCATGTACAACAAAAAAAACTGTCATATGAACAACCAGCGAGTAATTCAACTGATGGTTTCATGAGTTATAAGCATGCATAAGAAAAATGGCAATTCAAGTCCGATATGAACCGTGAATTAGTCATTTTAGACCAACGAGTCAGTCTGTGACTCAATTGAGAGTCACTTTGACATTCATTAAAAACAATCTGCTCATAAGAGTCACAAATCAGATGACACTGGCTGCATTGAATATTTGTTGTTGTATTAAACCAGTGGATAAAACGCAATAGAAAGATGTGCTGTCTGTTTAATTGCTGTAATAATAAAAAATATTATTTCAATTTAAACAAATTATTTAAAGAGCATTTCACTTTAAAATGATTCACTTGTTGTAGGCAAAAACCTCATTAAGATGCATTGTTTCGTTTCCTAACAGGCATTTCTGTAGTATCTCAATAGTTGTTACTCTGTTTGTCATCAAGAAAAAAAAAATCATATCTACCTCGCTTTCTGTGGGCTCATCTAAAAACCCAGAGCCTGAGCTATCATAATCATCATCATCTTCATCATCATAGTCATCAAAGCCATCCTCATCATCAGTTGGGTTTAAATTAGCAAACTCAAAGTCTTCATTCGGAGAGTCGCCAGAAGACTCCAGATCCTCATTGGACAACTTGTTTTTCAGAGGTACCCATGTTTCTGTTTCTCGTACCTACAAAGAGAAATAATTTACATGAGAAATTTACGCTTGGCACCATTTGTTCCAAGACAAATCACCAAAGAAAAATGTGCAAAATCACTCTTTCATAATGTAATCCAATGCAAACATCAGAAATAGAAGGAACAGTCACTATTGAGTGACACAAGAATGATTTAAGACCTCATCAAATCAAAACTGGAGTTTAAGACCTGGTGTAAAACATCTTATATCACTTTAAAAGTTATGCAGGTTACTTTTGTTCTGAGAGCACACTTAATTTAATTAAGACACACCAATGCTGTTAATCACGTTAACAGAGCCAATCACTGCCAATGAGTTTGAACAATTAATGAACTAAGCCTATTATCATAACAGGAGGAAGTAGATAACACAAACTGATTTATGTTTTGTCTGCTTTTCCTCTTTGTCTCTCTCTCTCAAGACTCTTTCCAAGAGTCAAGACTGTTTTCACTGTTGCTATGGTTGCAGGACATCAAAACATTCTTTTTTTTTTAAATAAAAATAAAAGATTCTAAATTCTATTCTGAATGGCACTCAACTGTGATTCACACTATTGTATTACAATCAATTCAGTCTTAACCTTAAAGCGAGTTGGAGAGGTAAGAGGCAAGTTAGTGCAGGTTTGGCACCATTGTGTAAAACGATGCAAGAATTCAATCGGACAGGGGCTGAGGGTCTTTATCAGTCTCGCTCTCCTGCTCGCTGTCAAAAACAGATTTAATCAAACCTGACTCACATACCGGGAAAGCAAAAACATTCATAATGCACAGGTGCGCACTCATGGCGTAATCACCTTAGACAAATTTCAAACACACCTTACTGAGGATTTCAGTAAGGCAACAATGACTTCAAGTTTATTGCAAATACAAGTTTTTAAAAACAAATCCAATACTCAAAATGGCTCTAGACACAAAAGGGAGGTGTTTTTAAAATGGAGACCGGCGAGACTGACGGACTCATTTTCCAGGAAAACCAGGATCATGTAAATGCCACATGAAACTGCAAGTCAGCTCTAGCCTGCTCTGTTGTTCGAAGATAATAAAAGAAAAAGGGAGAGCGAGAAACAGAGAACGACAGAAACCACAAGAGGGTGTGGGGAGAGAGGCCGACATACTTTATGGTTTTCAGCCTTACAGTGCTGTGAAACCCCACTCCAAAATCCCCCTACATTATGATATACTGAGCTCTGAGGAAAAACAAACAAAAAAAAAAAACTGTATAAGAAAGTACAGCGGATACCCTGACTGTGAAGAGGCGTAAAGCCGTGGTTCAATTAAACCGATGCTTAAATTCTCAAAAGCAACCATTAACTTCTCAGTAAATGTATATAAGCCACTTGAAAGAGTTGTAAAAAAAAAAATCCCACAGCCCAAACTAAAAGCTCTAGACCAAGACGGACTGCTAAAGAAAGTCCCTCAATTTCTCAGTCGCAATGCAGGAAATAATGCTTTTTGTCTTTAATTTCTCAGCAATAACCAAAAATACCCTCACCAGCATTTAAAAGAAACAAAACCAATACATAAAATAACAACAGCTCTTAAAAGAATCATAGTTCATTTAGTTCACCTAAAATGACAATTCTGTCATAATTTACTCGCCCTCACGACGTTCCAAACCCGTATGACTTTCTTTCACACAAAAGAAGATGTTTATCAATGTTTGTGCTGCTTTTGTCTAAACAATGGATGGAGACGGGCGCTGTCAGATCCAAAAAGTACAAAACTAACAATTAAAGCAGTCGGAAAACTGGTGCACAATTGAGCTTGAACTGAAATATAAATTATTATTCATGTCATTGATTTTGCTAATCATATGGCATCAGTGACTAGTACAGTAAGTCAGTCATACAGATTTGAAACGACATAAGGGTAAGTAAATGAGTAAAAGCTTTATTTCTGAGTGAACTATACCCTTAGGCAACCCTCATGACAGCTGTATCATATGAAGATGACAAGTATGACTATGGCTCTTATCCTCAAAGTGAGCGGTAATGACGGGGAGGGAGAAGCCTGTGTAAATGAACCAGCTTAGTAAACCAGGCCCAAATCAAGACTAGCAAAGCTAGGAGCAAATCCGACCATCTGCTGATAAATGGGATCACAATGGGAGACGCAAAGAGAAGATAACTCAATCAGTGACTCATCCATTACTGTGATAAACTGTCCATGGTGATCAGGCGATTATTCACTGTTTGAGTTTAAAGGCCAAAATTTAAATAACCACAACTGTTTGCATCTTAGTTTTACCAAGCAACTTCTGAGTTTGAAAAGTCACAGAAAGTCAGAACATTTCACAAAATGACTCCTCAAAATGCCTAGATTCAGTCTGGGATTCACATTACAGATATTATCCGCTGTTGTGGTTTGAAGACTCTCCTTGTTGTCCTTTCAGGTCACAACCAATTACAGCCTCAGTCGTCAAGACAAATGTTGTCTGTCGCTCCCACCAATCGGATTTACCAGTGTATTGTGTGTCATATGATCTCCTCATGAGATACACTCCTCACCCAGGACAGAGTGAATGTCCTACTTTGCACACAAACACACTCGCATGTCAGGAGAATTCCTTCCACCTTTACGGGAACTATTTATAGCTGTGTTTTCCTTCTTACACTCCCAGCTGAATCTCAGCAGCGGGGCGGAAAGACTCACCTGCCTGTTAAACGATGCGTCATTGTTCAATCACACGCCAAATTCTCACCCCAACACCTGTTCAAAGCCCTGAAGCATTAGTGCATGCGAAGGAAACAGGATTGGACTCTTCCTTCGAAATCTTCAACTAAACCAAACAAAAAGGACTATTCAGGCTCATTGTTGTCAGCCTCTATTCTCTCACACAGGAAGTGCGATCACCGATCACGCTTTCCTTCTATCTGTTGGTGGCTTTCATTAATGAAGCTTCTCACCATTAAGTCAAAGACTGTTTAATACACAATGAGCCATTCTGAATAGCCCAAACAATCAGTATTGTGTAATCTGGACATGAGGAGTTCAAGCTTTCTGAAAACAGACCTTTCCTGACTGGCTAAAACCTGAAGTTAACAGAGACCTAGATTGGATTCTGGGATCAAAAATGAGCCAAATACATTCTTGGTGGTTTCCAAGAGATTCACCAATGAACTATATTACACATCTCTAAAGAATAGCACCCATATCACACTATTACACCTATGTGCATTCAACAGGAAACAACCACGTTCACAGGTAAAGTTGCAAACCTATTTAATATATCCTATGCATAATTACACTTTAATTACTTTTTATAGCAAAAATGAGATTAACACTTACACACTGCCAAAAAAAGATTTTGATTCAGATGACAATTTTGAATGAACATTATTGCATTAATATTATGTTTTTATTTATAGAGCACATTTAACGCAACAGAAGTTGACCAAAAAAAGTGCTTAACAATAAGAAAGTCAATTATCAAATATATTATGAAAGTAAAAAGAAAAGAAAAATCAAATAATAAGTCTCAAGACTAGCTTTAAAACCATCCAATAATGGGTGAGGCCCTGAATTATTATTAATACTATACATGAAAGGACCTATAAAAGAGCATTCTGAACAATTACAAGACTCAAGAAAACAACCTGAAAGGTAATCCAGGATACTGCAAGTTAGCAATACATGTGTTATTAGATGTGAAATACCACCGTGTTTGTAGGAACATCAATGGGGTGATTAGACTCCCAAGATTTCTTCAACTCAAGTCTGGAGACCTGAGAAACACCCAGACGGGTGTTTATTTGAAGAATTGGCATTTTCAGGAGTACAAACATTTACACGCCAAGAAAGACAAAAGGATGGAATTGCCATTGCTTAGGGGGAGGGTGTAGTCCACAAAGAAACTTTACTAAAGACTAGTAAAGCCAATTCAGATGAATACAGATATCACTAACCTAATTGCTAATACGTTATGAGCAGACTATTAACTACTACTTAAAGGGGTCATATGATGCTATTTAAAAGATCATTATTTTGTGTATTTGGGGTAACAGAATATGTTGACATGCTTTAATGTTCAAAAAACACATAATTTTTCAAATACTGTACATTATTGTAGGTCCTCTATGCCCCACCTCTCTCAAACACGTCTGTAACACCGTTCGTAGTTCGGGAAGGAGGCGGCGGGAACCGGCGTACATTTAAACACTTTAATAAAATAAACCAACAAAATAGCGTGACAGCCCCTCACGGACGACTGTCGCGCACAAACAGAACCAAAACACAAAATAAAATCCAGGCCTGGTCCTCTTTCGTCTTGCACTGTCGTCACTCCTCCTTTTATCCTTCCGGAGCTCCTCCATGGGACTCGAGACCGGTGAGTGGTGCAGGTGTCGCTCATTATCAATTACTCCACCGGCCCCGCCCCCACTCGTCACAACATCGTTTTCAACAAAGCCCCTCCTTCCGTCAAGCGCAGTCTGCTCTCAGTTCCCCTCACACACACACACACACACACACACACGACGCGTTACTCTACGCTGCGCAAAACTCCGCATTTGAACAGTCAATAGCAAATACTTAAAAATAATAACAAAACATACTTACAGTCGCTGATTCAGAAGCAACAGATTGTCATAGCAAAGTCGGAATTGACCCTTTTTTTTAAATTTTTTTTTAGAAATAGCCTTTGTGCACAGCCAGCCTTGTACTCTCCTAGGTTCACAAAACTGTCGTCCATAAAATGCGTTGCACAAATTCTAACATTTGGGTTGTGCTGTTCTGTTGTAAACAGATCTTAACAATGACTCATTGAATCTACTTCCGGAAGGCCAAATAAAGTGCTGCAGATTTGGGCGACATTACGCAAATATTTCCACATCGTGACATAGACATGTGGTGGCGTGTTTGAACGAGGCGTTTTAGCCCGGTCTGGATCAGCCTTCTCTTTTAGATAGAATAAATCCTTTTGTGGGAGACTTTTTGAGCTTTGTAACTCTGCAGATCGTATACATGCACAAACAGCTACATAACACATTAAAGAAAAGGAAAAATAGAAATCGCATCAGATGACCCCTTTAAGCACAAATAAAAGGATTAAAGTGCTATCATTCACACCAATAAGCAGAAAAAAAGAAACCGGCCAAGTCAAAAAAAGAGGAACCATCACTATGAAGGACAGCTGGTGGCTGGTTATCAGCATTTCCAACTAAAGCACGACTGGCATATGGTTAATAGCTCCACAAGCAACAGAACTGGAACGGTGACGGATGTGGTCTGCTAAATGACTCTAGAACACACAGGATTCCCTTTACATGGCCTCAAGATATTCCTTTGGACTTACAAAACAAGAGCAGACAGCATAAGGCATTGCATTTATTTTCAATAAACAACTGCGTTCACTAGCAGAGTTGCTGTAATAACTAAAATTCTTCTTTCACCCAAGCGGCAAATAAAACTCTCGTTCAGTGCCAACATTCCAGCCTCAAAAGCGATTTAATAGGCCAGTGGACAGCAATGCAGAAAGCATTATTACATCCTGGCGAAAGTATTTATCATGTCCACTGCCTTTCAACAGCCATTCAGATGAGCTTTGCACCCTAATAACAACTGAATAAATAAATAAAAGCAAACCTATTCATATGCAAATCACCTCATGCCTAATTCATAACAATCATTAGCAAGACAACTGGCATGGCCATTACACTTAAAATAATTAAATAATAACCGTTCATGTTATCTTTTAAGATAATGATTAAGCTATTAAGGTGACAAAATACTTTATGTAATAAATCTAAAATGATTTTCCAACTTTTAAATGAAAGATTATTGGAGTATTTTTTATAAGAAAATGTAAACATACTCATGTTTAATTCAATGTGTTACTTGCCATTTATTTGTTTGTGAAATTTACTAGCAATTCCTGAGAGAAAATTGTTACTACACCAACATTAATAGCTAGAAAGACAAACTGGGAAAACAAACAAACCAAAATATAAACAAAAACGTTTGTCACATACAGGTATATATAGGATACAAATCCCGAAAAAAAAAAAAAAAAACTCTTGGGAGGTTATCGATATCACTGCCACTTTTTTTTGTTTGCCCAACATGTATCTTTCTAACTAGAGATTATATTTTATATCAGCTAAGGTGGTGAAAGCTACACTCAAATATTCAAATATAACCAACCCCAATGCCAAATCGAGAATATTCACTCATACTTTGCCTATTACTGAGGTTTAAAGTGTCGTTGTCATGTTGAGTTTAAGCCACACAAACTTGTCCAGTGGCTAAAGAGGAGGGACCTGGATGAAAGTGGTGGACCATTTAAATCCACCGAACTGTGTGAAATCCCAAAAGAAGGGCTGGTCAAGGTCAGGAGGGGTCACATTCCTCAGGAAACGCTAAAGAATGGAGAGGGAGGGGGATGAAAGGAACACAGACTCTTCTGCATGATTTTGAGGAATGCTGCGGCCTTCTCTGCCTTGAAGGACAAGGCCTGTGGTGCGTGTGAGCTTGTTCTCACATTCCCACCCGAGATTATATCACACCATCCGATGTACTACTAACAGCACAGCTGGTTTACTGTTCTATTACCCATGGATTACACAATATTACACACTAAAACCATCGACAGACAAGGTCAAGACGCAATACAAAAGCTGCATCTGTTGGTGTTTAAGTGTAGATAAAGATCTGCGGCAACACCTTTCCAAAGGTCTGTGAGAGAATGGAAGGTTTGGGCCCAAAAAATTTGCATTTTGACTTGTGTGAGGGTGTGTGTGTGTGGCTGGCTGACTGACCCAGCAAGCACACTGGGTGGCATTTGTCTTCTATTTCAGCTCCAAAGACATCTGCAGCAACCTATTCTTTTGAGTTATGAAAGAACTGGCCAACACAAAGCTGTGGCATCCCATTCACAGGTGCTCCAGTGGGTGATTCCATAATGAACAGATGGAAAATTAAACCTCGTGGACTGAATCCAGTCTAATCAAATAAAGCTATAAAAAAAATTCCTGAGGGCCAAAACTGTCACATGAAAACCAATGCTACTCATGAGGTTACTTAAACAAATACGCGCAAGACTAGTTTGGTGCCAAAAGCCATTAAACTATTCTCTTAAATATATTTCGTACACACCTACATAAATATACACGCACACAAATTGAATATCACAACTCCACGACTAATTGTTCATTGTCTAATCTTACACTTGAGGTTTATTTGAGGTGCGCGCCCATTGGAAAATGCGACCAAAGACCGAGAAGACTTGTCTACACGTTTGACAATTAAACTAAAGCTAAATTATTCATCTAAAGTGTTACGTTTGTTGAACATATAACTTAGAAGCCTTTGTTGTTTCAACAGGTCTGTTGTCAGGGAGCTAAAGCTTTAGCTAGCACAAGTGTAACACCTTTTTTCCCGTCATTTGTAATTAAAGAAACCAATTTTACTCGATTATACCCTTAGTATCTTAACTGAATGTAATATAAAGTTAAAATTCACAAGATACTCACCGATTCAGCGAAAACAACAGCAGCAGCCGCAGACAAAACCAGCATGAGGTAAACTTTCAACATCTTCTCTTCAAAATAAAAAGCCCCGATGCCGAAAGTTGTTGTCAGTTTTCCGAAGTGAATCACTTCTATAAATCAAAATAAACCGGTCCTGGTTTTGTAACTCCTTTTTTTATGTCAATTCAATGAGATTTATATCGCGTATTTCTTACTGCTATCCTCTGTGTTTGTACGCAATATTCCTGTGTACTGATTGATCCAGTTTGGTTTTATTTAGAGCCGTGACCAACCTAAACCCGCCCCCTCTTCTTGTGCAGCCAATCAAGACACAGCAGAAGCAGTGACGTGATTTTCGGAAACTCCGGACGCAAGAGGTTTACAACACAATACATTAGAATCCATCATGACGACGAAGTTGTAAACAGAAATTTTACGATGATTAGAATACGTTTTTTTTTTTGACTATATAAAACAATTGTTTTAAGATTAATCTCTTATAAATGCAAAATCCTCCGTTCTCTGACAATTACACGTGGTTAACGTACTTAATATCCGTCCTTAACTGACCAAAATGAAATTATGGAATCATGACTAGCATGTTTGAGGAAGTTTTAGGAAGAAGAATTAGGAAAGAGAGACGCTCGTGGAAAGTTCAGTGACATAAACTTCCGGGATTTTTTGAGAGTACTTTTTTGATTGTTCTTCCCTTTTCCCTTAAGCATTCTGAAAAACGAAAACCACAATGATATTTAGATGCTATTGCTGATAAAAATAGTTTTATTTTCTGTTCTTTTTTCTTCTCTACTGACAGAAGTTCTTAAACTAGACCAGATGGCTTGCTGGTCTTAGTTGGTTTAAGCTGGTTTTAGCTGGTCGATGGTCTCCCAGCCTGATGGTCAGCATGCTGATCTCCAAAATCCTCCAGCAAACTGACTAGGCTGAGACCACTTAAGACCAGCAAACCATCTTACCATTTGACGAGTTTATTTTCTTTTTTCGTTTCATAAATGTCAGTTACATTCAGGTTTAGGTGGTGTTGCGTCATAGAATTAACAGTTGTCATTTCCACTAAAAGGCGTCAGTTTGGTTCTCATCCAGTCACAGTAACTGGAAAATGATGGAATAACTTGCCACAGCATTTCTATTCTAGCATGACTTTGAACTTGAAACCACTTTTGCAAGTCCCAACATGACACTGTCAGTGAATAGAGCTTTACTCCCAAGTCCACTTTATTACAGTAGGCTAGCCTAAATCATCTCCTGGCAATCACTGAAGTCATCAATTCTTTGTAAAGTCATTAGAAATATACTCTATTACAAAGAGTTAGGCTTTTTTTTTTTTATTAGGTTAACCATCTAAGCATGTCTGCAATGTGTCACTATTTATGATTCCCTATTAGTAAGAATAGTGGCTTAGAATGCAATGCAAGTCACGTAATCAGTTAATGAAGACTGTCATGCTAAAGTCTTTCATGTATGTAAATGGTCATTGTATAGGACTTAAGGTTCAGAAATAATACTTGCTGTGTCAAAATCCTCTTAAATGCCTAATTTACCTGGCAAACCAACTTGATTCCGATTCAGATTGACTTGTTAGAAGTGACTGGGTGAATGTGATGGTATTACAACTGACATAATACTCTAATCTTGATTCTAATCTGAATAATTGTAAAAACTCAAACATACATTATTATTAATGCAATGTTAACAATCTATATATACATACACTCATGCACTTCTACAGCAGTTCTCTTTATATATTTCAAAACAACAAATCACCAATTATCTTCTTATGTCCTCGTTGTCCACCGAGGAATCTTGCCGTATTTCTTGCTTGACTACACTATGTGTTCTTCACATCTGCTCATACAGCAAAGTTTAAACATCAACTTCAGATTGTTTGTAAAATTGTGGAAAGCTCTTCTACGCTCAAACCAAGTTGTAAAAAGTACAAGCTGCGTCACTGACCTGCTGCTCATGAGGTCTCAGACGGTCCTATATTAAGAAGTGCGAGAAGAATCTGGCCTGATTTCAGCCTTGATTTGTTTAGACTTGGACTAGAGTACATTTTAAACAAAGTGAAGGAAGTGTTCTGAAAAATGCAAGAGATGAACATGTTTTTTAAAGATGGTATTTGCCTTAAGACTGAGAGTGCAGAGTGAAATACATTTGTGAATGCATACAATGTGAGAAATGCGGACATAAGCAAAACAGGACTTTTGACAACAAAAATAGCCATCAATCATAGTTATGATCTAACTTAACATCGCATACTTATTAGTGATGCATTATGTTCCTTATTTAAGGGTCAAAATAGGGCGCATAAAGCATCTTAGAAATGTGATAGTTATGAACCAAAAGCTTGTGGTGAATCTTCATTCTTAGTTATTTCGTAACTCACTTTCAATTGTAATTCATTATTTAAGCAGAACAGACAAGTGCGCTCCATATTCTTCAATATATACAATTCCACCTATAGGCTTGTGTTTAAATGTAACATTTCAGAGCTCATGGGTTGTCAGCGTTGCTATTATGCCGTCATTGATAATCAGTTCTTGCTGCTGATCCAAGAGCAACGATGGAAAAGTTTAGGCAGAGGCAGTAAACACTGCAGCTCGGGTCAGCTCGTTCAAGCAGTTGTGGCAATCAAATCCACATGGTGTACATTAGAGAGAAGCGCCTGGCTCAGTGCTGCTGTACGCTGGCCTTCTCCACATCCCCGCCTCGACTTTCACTCAGTCATAGTCCATCTTTTGTCTCCATGTAAAAAGCAAATTCCACTCAACCTCTGACATAGTCTGACACACATTCCAATTCAAGCACAACAATGGAGGCCTTTGTGCTGCTCTGCTGTGTGTGCGCGTGTGTTTGTTTTTCATTTTTTATTACACTCTAGATGGGCTAGAAAGTTGAATCATGTAGCCATATTGCTGGTATGTGTATGATCTCAGAACTCCTCTCCATAACAAAAAAACACACACACACAATTGCAAACTTTATGACTGTTTATGGTGGAAAAAAAGACTATGGTGTTGTGTGTGGTCCCTTCGCTCTTTTGTGTTACCTGTAAATTTCTTTCTTTCTTTCTTTCTTTCTTTATTTATGTGTGTGTGTGTGTGTGTGTGTGTGTGTGTGTGTGTGTGTGTATATGTATATATA